TTGAAATGAAGGCTCTCACACATGCTATTCCTTTTTCTCTCAGTGTGGATTCCACAGTCATCTTGATTCACACCTTTTCTCAGCACTTGGGAGAAGCATACATCTATTTCCTATGTAGACAATGATTTTTGGTGCTTTTGTAGATATTCGCATAATTATCTTATACTATATTCTTATATAATAACAACCTTATACTATATTCTAAGTAAAAGTCTTTCCATATTCAGAGGTCTAGTTTGCATCTGTACAGTTTGCATTTGCAAACATGGAGGACTATGTACGCCACAATTGCTTAGTCAGAGTAACTTAAGAACAAGGGGGCAAAGGAACCAAAACTGGAACTGTGCAATATCTTCTTCAAACTGAAACTGATTAACAAAAATGGTTTTCTAATTAAACTGTAACAAAATGACAGGCGAAAAAAGAGTATTTCTGACTGCCAGCTCAAAACATGAGCAGAAATGAAAATCAATAGCTTGCACAAAAAATTTTAATTGGGATTTGTAGGGGAAAATGTGAAGAAAGGGAACAAGTGGCATCCAAGAACAACATAAAAATTCACAGGGGCCAGGAAGTAAAATTCTTTTAAACCCAAATGAGGTGAGCACAGGACCTGGCTCTGTCTCTTGAGATGGATGAAGACGTTGCATAAAAATGTGGACTGTGAAGAATGAATAGTAAAAACTCTCACTCTTGTCTCTGGCCCTCAGAAATTTCCACAGATTTCCCTTTCCAGCCCTCCTTTCCTACCTACATATAAGCTCTGACTCCTCCACTGCTGCCTGTCTCCTCTCCTAAACATCTCTGACCTGTCCTGCCACACTCTTGAGACCTCTGTCTCCCAAAAACTAATTCAGAAGTTTCAGAGATTATACTTAGGGAGAGTTACCAAGCCTTTAGACAGTCAGGCCTTTGCAACTAAAACTGAACTGAAACAATTTCAGTGCTATTCTGAAGAACCAAACCACATGGTTTTGTTCTTCAGAAGGTGGAAGATCTACTAATGGCATTAAGCAGTAACAGCAATTGATCTTAGAGACTCTTCAAGTCCTCACGTGAAAGAGAACATCTGTGTAGGTTAAACCAAAGTCCTCTGGGTTTACTTTTCCCTGCAGCTTTCCATGGACTCCTGAGAGGTGTTTTCAAATGCTCACAGCTTCACTGATCAAGAACTATTTAAATGAAGGGAAATGGAGCCATGTAGCTCTTCCCTCGCTTTTTTGGAAGTACGGATATAGAAAACTATCTATACAATTTGTTTCGCATATTAAGAAGTCAATTTAACGCAGTAGAAAATGGTCAAGTAAAGTAATAGGCCAACACTTGACAGAGAATGAGGACGCAATTACTTTCTTGTTTGTAGACTTAATGGAACATGGGAATTTAAAAATTGTTGTAATCGCAGTTATTATTCACAATATTCTCATTTGCCAGTGGGTTAGCAGTGAATTTTCATCACAAAGAAATAACATGAAGGATATATAGAAATTAAGATAAAAACCAAAAAGACCAAATATCAAAATATAGACAGAATGTAAAATAATATATATTTATTTAACAACAGATATTTCTTTTTTGGTGACCCGGGCACTTTTTAGTGAAAGCTCCATTCAAAGTAACTGCTCAAGGATTTTTTCATAGTATTTTAAAAATGCATAAGACTTTCAAATTATTTCTAAACTGCCATACATGTTTTCTTTTACTGCAGTGTTCTGTTTTTTAATTCCAAGGCTTTTCAACACACTTCATGTATTTCTTTTAACTGTGAAGTATCAAACACTTTGAGAATAGCTTCCTTTCATCTATAAAATGCTATCCATATTTAGTAAAGATGGCAATGACAAAAATAGTTCAATTTGAAGAACTCCCAGAGGGGACGAGTTGGTAGCAAAAATTTGTACCATTCCGCGTAAAATTACAACACTATGCTGTTAATGCACTTGCTGAACATTGCAAGCAAGATGAGTAAAGATTTGCAGTCAGATTGTTTGCCCTGTTATGCTACTAAAGTTAAATAATGGTAAACAACACTCTTTGGTAGTATTATTGTTAAAGCATTAACTCCACCAGGCAGCTTTTTTCTTGTACACTCATCTTTTATATAGTAAAAAATCATTTTAGTACATCCCTGTTATTCACAGACTTAAGCAAAGAGGTTTTTAGGAGCTGAGTTGTCCAATTGCATTACTATGATATATCCTGGGGTAGTTTCCATTCATTCTTCTTAGTAGTCAATAGCAAGCATGTGTGTTTATCCATACCAAGTATTCATTGTATTTCCAAAATTATGCTTTAATATATAACTGCTTATTTAAGCAAATCAGATACATGGGCTCAAGACAAATTTAAGCCTGTGAATACAACACTGAAGATTAAAGAGAAGCAAATTAAATTTTGGGATAATTATTATAACACATGCATTTCTTTGTGGTATTTCAAATGAAAATACATGTAGTCTGGACACGTAAAGCACCTTGCTCTCTTATCATCCTGCTTTTGCACATGCAGCTTCTCATCTTGTGGGTTAAATAGAACCTGTTTCTCCTCAAAATCATCATAAAGCTTTAAATTAATATTTTAAATATTTAAATTAATATTTAATTGTCGCTATAGGACACGAGAAAGCAAACGCGAGCTACTTGTTACTTTGCAAGGCAAAAAAGAGAGCGTTTATTTTCTGACTCCAACTTTTATACTTCTCCAAAGGTGACAGTGGATTGGAGAGTGAACGGGCCACCTCTTCGAAGACATTGGACAAAGCACTAGTACATCAAGTCTCTCCACCTCCATGGAGGAATGCAAAACAATACGTTATTTACAGAAACTGTGTGGGAAAGTTTCCCAATAGAATGTAAACTCAGAAGGCTTAAGAAAACTCAAGAATCAGGGCGACATTTAATATTTTTTCTTAATGTGACTGAGGTGGCATTTCAGATATATGAGCAGTTCCACCAACAGTGGTTTATCAAGCATGTGCCTGCCTTGGAGTGAGATGTGGAGCTTTCAAATGTCTAATGCCAATTGTACAACTACTCAGTATGTCAGAAATCATAAAGGAAAATTCCATGTTTGTCCCTATTGCTCTTCCTTCCAAGAAATGCTGTTCAGCTGAGCCCTGATGCTGATTTTGCTGAAGTGCCAAGCTGAGAAAACTTGAAGTACCATTAGGCTAAAAGATGGTCTGAAGTGGAAAATAATGAAGAATATGTTTAATTTGATTCAAAGTATAGAGTGACAAAGGTGTGTGTCTTGTTTCCTATTAGAATTTAATGTACTTTATGGTGTATCTGTCCCCTCTCCTTTTTTATTTTTTTTTCCAGAATGTGATTGGAAAAGCATTTAGCCTCAATTATGCAAACACATGAATACATGATCAATATGAAACTTTCTTGATCCAGCTGAAGATTGAGTAAAACAGTGTACTTGTAATATTGGCAATTTCAGACATAAATTTCAAAAAGAAAACCTGAAAGAGACTGAAACAGGTATGATTCCCATTCAGACATTATACAAAGTTGTTCTAAAAATTCTTAGCTTGTTGTTGAATCCATTAAAATACATCTATACTTTAAAGAGTTCTAGATGTCTCTGTTCAAACTGTCATAAAAACAGTGCCCAAAGAACTGTTGTCACTCATACTGAAAAAATATGTCAAATAGAGGCTTGAAGAGATTTGGTTTTATTTGATATCATTATTAGTGATTTTTGAATAGAGAGTGTAGTTCTTAGACTTACAGATATAAGTAAATTGGGATGGTTGACATGCATTTTGGAGGACAACATTATAAATACAATTTTATTGACAAATGTTGCAAGTAGCCTGAAACAGGATTAAATTCAATGAGGAAAGGCAGAAAGCATTACAGTCAAACAGAAATAAAGCTTCAACATGTATGAAATGTCAATAACAGGAGAGCATCCAGAGGCTCTTTTAGTAAATCAGGATTCGTGTGAGTCAGCAATGTCATACCGTCAAGAAAACAAACATCATACTGGGATATACAAACAGAAGTCTTGTATGCAAGACACATGAAGTAATACTTCCACTCTGCTCAGTATTCCCAGGGCCTCAACAGAAGTACTGTATCCAGTTTTTGGCACAGTACTGCAAGAAAGTGGAGAGGGGCCAAAGGAAAGCAAGAAGAATAATCAGGAGTCTAGAAAAGACAACCGAGGGAAAGACTGACTGAAGAGGAGCTGTTTAGTCTATGGCAAAGATGACCGGCTGAAGGGACACTGGCAGTTTTCAGCTCAGGGAAGGCTGATGCAAAAGAGGAGATCATAGCCTGTTCTCCCTGGCCATGGTATGTAATAAAAGTAATGGCCTAAAATTCAGCTAGCACTATCTTTACAAGTTTTCTTACTGATTGCCTATATGGATAGAAAAGTTCTGAGGCTGTAAGAAAGTCCCTAGAACTGGGATTGTTCAGTCTGCAGAAAAGGAGGCTCCAGAGTGACTTTACTATACAGGCCCCCTAAAGTGGGAATGAGTGCCAGAAAAGGACTGCATGGGAGAAAGGGAGTGCACGTAGGGATAGAACAAGGGGGAGATGGCTTTAAACTGAAAGAGCGCAGAGTTAGATTACATCGAGAAGAAATTCTTCACTGTGAGGGTGGTGAGGCACTGGCACAGTTTGCCCAGAGAAGCTGCCCCATCCCCGGCAGCGCTCCAGGCCAGGCTGGACGGGGCTTTGAGCAACCCGGTCTAAAGAAAGCTGACCCTGCCCATGGCAGGGGTATTGGAATGAAATGATGTTTAAGGTCCCTTACAACGCAAACCATCCAGTGCCTCTACGATTTGGCCGCCACAGCTCTTTATTTAGTTGCCATAGCACACCGCCGCCGCCTCCCCGGCCAGCCCCACACGGGCCGGCCCCGCCCCTCAGCGGCCATGGCCCCGCCCCCAACCGCCCCCGTTGCTTGGTTACCGCGCGCGGCGTCACTGCGGGGCCCGGGCCGCCGAGCGTGCGGCCGACAGCCGGGCTGAACCATCTCCCGGCTCTGTGGGAGCACAAGTGGGTGTGTCCCGAAGCAGCAGCTGGACTTGTAGCTCTCAATTTACGGTTTCCCCTCTTCCCTCAGCGCTGTCGTTGGTTTCGCCCGTGCGGACCATAGCGACGGAGGGCGCGCCGAAGGAAGATGGCGGTGCTGGCTCCGCCGTTACTGCCGGCGTCGTGAGCGCGGCGCTCGCTCTTCTCTCTGTCCCGCCCTCGCTCCTGCACCCGTCTCCTCCCGGCTGCTCTCAGCCTCTTCTTTCTCGCCGGGGCCGTAGAGATCATGTCGGACTCGGAGGAGGAGGAGAGTCCGGACCGCCAGCTCAAGCTGGTGGTGCTGGGGGACGGCACTACTGGCAAGGTCAGTGCCGGCCCCGCCGGCAGCTCGTCTCCCTCGCCGCGGTGCCCGAGCCCCTTCGCGGCCTTCCCCTTCACGCTGCCCCTGGCTGTGCTGCTGAGGAGGGAACAGCCCGCGGCCGCTGGCAGTCCGTGTGCAGCCGCTGCGCCTGGCGGTGGCTGCTGCCCCTCGGCTCCGGGCCCTGCCCGGGGGACCGGGCTCTGCCCGCCGCTGTCCGCGCCGTGCCCGGCTGCCAAACCCCTGACGGGGCTGCCGCGCCCGAGGAGGTGTCGTCAACACAAAGACGTACACGACTGTAACCAATTTTCTTGAGCCGTGAGAAAAGGAGCGGCGAATAACGTAATTCGTGTTGTGCTGGGGGAGTTTCCCAGGGATCCCCGTGCGCTGCCGATCCGCGCTGGAGGCAGGAATTGTTCGGCTGGAGCCGCTGGAACAGCCCGAAGCCGCTCTCGAGGGCTGCAGTGCCCCGGGCATGGCGGGCTGGGGTCGGGGCCGAGCACGAGGGTTCGTGGCTCCCCTCCAAAGGGACGAGCAGGGAAGGTCGCTTAGCTGGGTCTGCAGGCGCCCTTCCTTTCGGATACAGAGCTACCGAGCTGGATAGAGCAGTTTGCATCTAGTGGAGTTACTTTGTTCCAGAGTTTGGAAAGGCACTGCTGGGTCTATTTAGTTTTCGTTTGTAACTTTTATGTTTATGGGTTTTTTCCCCCCCTATGTGTAATCACTATAATGAAATCCTGTTTATAAAAGTTTATTTATCAAACAATAATCAAAACAACCAAACAATAATCAAAGAAATTTCTCTTTGCAAAAGGGAAATGTTGACAAGGAAAGACCAAAGAAGGCAAAAGAAAGGCTGCTTTCTTAACTGTTTTAAAGTCACTGATTTTAACTGTGCACTTGAACATATCTAGTTTCATATATAGCCTGAATAATTTTGTGAGATATGCCTGAAAATACTAAATTTATTGTATGATTGAAGTATACAGTTCTTTCCTCTGTTGTTAACTTTTGAAACTACAAGGAGAAGAAATTCTGCTTTCTTCACAGTTCATACAAAAAGTGAAAATGTTCGTAGAGCTGGTTTAAATGAACTGCCTTATATTAATAGGAATAAGCTCTAAGTGAAAATACATGTGGTTTTGCTCACTTACTTATTCAGAGCTCTATAAAGAAACAAAACATTTTTTTTCGTCTCCAGTGATTCTAAACCCAGTCTGAAGTGGTATTGTGTTCATCTGAGTCAGTAGATGGGCAATTCCAACCAGCTGTGCGATGAGAGCATAATAAATGCACAGCAGTGACTGCTGAAGTGCTGCTTCATGGGTAGCATTTCCCAGGAGTTTTCCATTCAAATTGAAGAATCCTTTCACTACTGCTGTTGAGCAGCTTGTGGCAAGACCTCTCGCCAAACATGGATTTTCAAGCATTCTTGAGTTTTGATGTATATTCCTGTTGGTTCCTACATCTCTCACAGGAGCTGCCACTCACTGCATCTCCTGCTGACTCTAGGAATCTCACTTTTCCATGGCAGGTTCTTGGGCATGAGCAGCAGCAATACTCTGGTGGGCTGCTTTTCCTTCCGTCCCCCCTAGATGATGCTGTAATAGAGGCTCCTTCCCACCATCCCAGTGGCCTGCCAGCACTCACAGATTTATTGTAAGGTCTTGTAAAAATAAAGAAGCAATTGGGTCATGGAATGGAATAGTACCTAGTACTATTTTTTACCTCAGAAGACTAAATTGTTGAGGTTCCTCTCTTTTGTTGTCTACTCGTTCTGCTTACTTGTTGAAACCTGTGTATGTCTATGTGCTTTCAGCTCTAAATTGCCTGGCTCTCACATCTGGTTCACAGCTGGTCTTTAGGCACAGCATACTTATCTCTCTTTTACTGTGCAAGGTGTTGGTTTTCCTCTTCCTGTCACTCTGGGATCATGAGACAGGAGGTGTGTAGAAAATGATGGGATATATCTGAAATACTGTATCTTGTATTTAGTATGAAGTATTCACATTTGGCTTCTTTTACCCCCTCTTTTCCAAAAAACAACAACAAAAAAAGTTGTTGCTGTGGGGCAGGTGGAAACTTGCTGTTTTCCTCAATCATTGATGTGACTTGGGTTCTGTGCAAGGATTGGTAGCAGCTTAAGTCAATGTCAGTTCAAGCTAAAGATAACGTTTATACTTACAATAGCTAGGAATTGCTCTATTCATGAGGCAAGGGAGGGGTGCTCTACTTCTATTAATTTGTTTTGAGGTGGTTGAATTTATAATTGGATACTTAGAATTTTAAGGATAGCAATAAGCGCTGCTGGAGAAAACACAAGTAGAGAAAAGTGGAAGAAGGCATAAGAAAAGTGAGACAGAGTAGAATCTGTAAAATCTTAGGGTGAAATAGAGATGGTAAGGTAATGGTGAACTGTGGAAAAGCAAAAGTGAGGGAAGCAAGACTGGTTAGTCAGAAGATAATAGAGGATGATTTTAATGAACTAGACAAACTAGGAAAACAATCTAAAAAGCAATTAGAAGTGGGGACAATGTGAGATGAAAAAAATCCAGCAATTATTAATAGCAGTTGGCTCTGTAATTCTGAATATAGGAAGGACATATATACACACAACAGCCTTACATGTCTAGGTTTTAAATCAACCCACTCTTCTTGGGCCAAAATTATTTTCCATTAAAATAAACCAACATTACTACTGTGGATTGAAAAAAATGATGTTATGATCCAGATATTTTTATTATTTTTGTGCACAGATTGGCTTCGTACTGAAATATACATGAATGCATGGATTTGAGATAGAGTATTATGATTTGCTAATGTTGTAAAAGGTTTTGGGCCTCTGGAAGTAAATCTCAGAGCTGTTAATGGAAGGGAGCTCCTGAAAAATAGGTGTGCTGAGGTTTTATTTATTTGCTATCTATTGTAGCTGTAACTAGAGTATGGTAGCAGAAATATCCTACCTTTTCTTTCTGGTAACAATGGATGATGAAAATGAAATAATGAATGCTCAAGCTGGTATGGGAATTGCAGGACCTAAAACATAGGCTGGCATAAAAAGTAGTGTCCTGCTTACTTTAGGAATTTTTTTGATAGCAGATTTTTAAGCATTATGTCAATTCTAATTGTCTTGTTACACTTGGGGTCAAAATCTTCATAGATGGTGACAAAAATGTTGTTGTCACTGTTGAGTCTTGCAAATGGAAAATTGAATGAAGTGTGCTGTGCAGATTGACCCAGCTGCCTTAAATAGATTTGCATCAAATGGGTCTACATCAAATGTCAAAAAGTTATGATAATTTTCTCTTTTCCAGTGAAGAAAGTTGCATCAGTAGTTGGCAGTGGGATGGAAGGACATTAGCTTGGACATTTATGTGTTTTTATGGTAGTTAAAGCATTTCTTTATTTAGCCTAGTGTTTGTGTTAGTTTTGTTTGTCCTAAAATTCTTGCCAATAAGATAGAACATGACTGAGGGATGAGCGTAGCTGTGCTTGGATAATGGCACTGATGTTCTAGAAGGGAGTGAGAGAGAGGATGGATATATGTGGTTTTTGGAAAGTAGATTTTCAATTTGTGGCTAAAGATCATGTGTGAATGGAAATTCTTAGCTTCAGAACTATGTGCTTGAATCTAATTGAATTTTGGGTTTAGTTTTCTTTCTTACAACTATGATGTTACACTTTGGCACAGCTTTCTCAAAACTTAATTCTATAGGACTTTACTCAAAGAGTTGTCATTGGTGGGATTTCCCCTGCAAGTTCTGGTTGCCCTGATGAGTAGTCATTGTCAGAGCTGGCTATGATTGCTTGTTCCATTTGACTTTCAATTTAATTACTTGTTAGTTTATTTCATAGATACTGTTTGCTTTTTTTCCTCTTTACTCATTGTGTAGGACTTCAGGAACAGCATGTCAAATTCAGTTTATGCTGAATTGTTGACATTGAAAAACAGAAGCAAGGAACTGTCATGCCTTTTATGTAAGGTTAAATTCCATATTTGCTTCTTTCAAAAAAACCTTCCCAAATGTCCTATTGTATTTTGAACTTAGAATACTGTACTTATTTTTTATTACTGCTTTCTTGGTTGCTGTACATTAGAGCCCAAAGACATTTTCTTGTTTTTAAAAGTTTTTTTTTAACCCCAACCCTCAATAGAGTAATTTATATTTAGAATATTTAGAATAGGATGTTGACATTCACTTTGAAGTATTTAAGGCAGGTGTGTGAACCTTCCAAACTGATGGAATTTTTGCTGGAAATTCTGCTATGCAAGCTGATGGCCTGTTTGTCTTAACAGAGCTGCAAAGGAACAAAGGCCTTCATTCTATCGTACTGTTTTCTGACCCTGACATCGAGGTGGAATTCTATGGAATGCAACCTTTCTAAAAAATGGTCACTGATTGCTTACTTATTTTTACAACTACAGTTCTTCTGAACCATTATTTAACTTTCATTAATTCTTATATAGATTGTATTCAGCATATCCTCAGGTAAAACTGTTGAGCAAAATCTTTTTTGGCAAGCATGGCAGTGAACACTTCTGGGATTTGAAGGGAGTATTTGCATTGTAGAGGCCCTTGAATATGCATTGACATAACTTCTTTGTTTATTGTTGTAAAGAAGTTTAAACTGTTTCTCTTAGAATTTTGTGGATAAATACTTGTTTTGTGAATAAATACAGGATCCTAGACTGGTAATCCAACACCTTCCTTGAACTCTAAGATTTATTAGGAAAAAAATTCAAGAAGGAGTTAGTCAATGATTTTGTGCTATAAATTCTTTTGCATTCAAGAGCACAGTGGAGAAAACTTGTTTAAGAGGACTTTGCCATGCTGTTGATTACTTGCTTCTCTTATAGGGTGGCTGTTAATTGAATGTATATAGTTTTTTTTTACGAACAGCTCTAGAAGTCCTCGGGAAATATTGAGTGTCACGGAATGATAAGCTAATATTTTCTGAGCCTTTAAAACAAGAAGGGAGTGGTTACTTATTTAACAAGGATCTAAATTAGTGTGTTGGAGAATATAGAATTATAATAGTCAGATGATACTTGAATAATCTAGGCACTAGTTACTTTTCCAAAAAGCAAAATTTCAAGAAGACTGAATGGTGTATTCCTGCAGTCATCTTATTCTCATCTACATCTTTAAGGTCATGATAGATTAAAGATGTTTTTGTAATCTTGACATGCTAACCGTTGGGATTAAATGAATCAGTTCGACTGACTCTTTCAATACTATAGTCTGAATCTATATTGGATTTTATTTTGTGTGTGTTGTTAGTATTACTGTCACATAACTGAAGGCAGAAGAATCTTCTCATGATACAGCCTCTGTGGTCTTCTCTCTTTCCACAGGGATATAAATATATAAGCATACTCATGCTATTTCTAGTTTACTTGCTTTTTACCCCATTTGTTTTTTTATTTTTAATCCTCTTGGGGTTTGAGTTCAGTGAAGTAAATGAAAATGTTGCCATAGGCTAATACTAATTTATTGAATTGTTTCCTAAACATATCTTCTGATATTAAAATACCATTCATTATATATATGCCAGTGATAGGAATATAAATATGATAAAGAAACATGAAAAAAGTAAATATTGTTTTATTTACTTAATAGGAAATCTAGTAGTTGAATAAATGTTTGCCTATTCATACTAGAGTGTTAATGCTGGAGCTCTGGTAAGCATATTTTAATGCAAAAAAAGGGTTTTTTCCCCTGTACATTTGACATTAACCTAATTTAGATCTTTGTTATAGCCTTCTATTCATGCACCTTGCCTATTCTTATTTTTCAGAACTGTTGGCATTATTTTGCTATTGCATTTTTAACTAAATGTGTTCTTAACAATTCTGATTCAACAATGTATTCTTTGCAATTTCTGATAATAGTTGATGTGACTTATCTCTTCATGGCTTGATGAATGGAAAACTAGCAAGAAAAAACCCTTCTGGCCTGTTTTGAGTTTTCTCAAATGGTGTAAGGGTTTTGTAAGCCTCCTAGTATTTTTCATTCTTTATATATGTAAATAAATATTTAGATTATTTTTTGCTGTAGTTAATTTGTACTTTTATTTACAGAAGTCATATCAATCATGTCAACAAGAGATTTTTAAATGTACACTAATTTGATTTTGGTTGTATTTTATAATTTTTTATATTAGTATTTTTTTTTCACAATACAAACTTTGGAATTTTTTATGATTGTACTACTATTTTCTCATTTACTTTTTTAATGGACATTATTTATTTATTTATTTATTTCCCTTTATTTTTTCCCCCCACCCCTTTTTTTTTTTCTTGAAAGTAGACCTTAAATTGCTACTAAATTGCTACTGACAGAATATAAGTGCCTTACTTCAGTAGTTTGCCTAGGTTAGTTGTGTATTCTTTCAGCTGTATATAGTAAAAACTTATTAGGTTTACAGTGTATTGGCTTGCTTTCATGAATCTACAGAATACCAACTAAAGAAATAAATTTTCAAATTTCTGCTGAAACAAATGATTCTAGAAATGTGCATTCATAATATGAGTTTAACTTCTTTTTCTGTGTGCAAGAAAGGACTTTTCCCATTTTAGAGTTCCTGTAATCCCTGATCCTGAAGCTGATGTACAGTGGCAGAAATCTTGCCGCACGTAGGAGCCCCCTGTGGGATTCTGCACTGTGCAGATCTCTATTCTCTTCCAGAAAACTGGTCATGGTGTTCCTTACCAGGGGAGGACCCTTGTTTTGGAAATGAATGCTTTTTAAAAATACTGAGATTTTCACGTACAGATGGTGTCACCTAGATTTGTGTCACTTTGAGCATACTAATGATACCTCCTTCAAATCTGCACAATATTTTGTAATTGGACTGTTAGAGTATTTTTGAAATCAAAGCAAATACGCACCTTGCTTCTTTTTGCATAAATTAGTAGCATTTGCCACCTCCTGTTATTATGTTGAAACTGACTGGAGTGCTTGTCAACCCAAATCCATGAACACTGTTAGCATTCATTGATTTAAAAAGTGCTTAACTGTATTTCATACTTCTGGGTTAACATAAAGTTTGTTGCTGTTAAAAATGACAACTTAATTTGATGCTGTTCTGTTTTAGACATCCTTAGCTACACGTTTTGCCCAAGAAACGTTTGGAAAACAGTACAAACAAACCTTAGGACTGGACTTCTTCTTGAAAAGGATATTATTGCCAGGTAAGAGAATAAAAACTAACACTGAAAGATTGGGTGGCAGCAAGACTTGCAGAAACACATTCTTCAGAGCAATGTGTACTAAATAAGCTTAGTGCAGTGATTTTTATGGCAAAATAAATTAAGTTGTTTGGAGAATATTTTGTTCATACATTCTTGCCAGGTGTCATAGAGTTATGCATTTGCAACTTATATCTCTAAGTAAAACAATGAATTAAAATAAAAGGAATGCTATCTATATTGATGAATTTTAGAATCCCTGCTTGCGTGCACTCATCTTCCATGTGGGTAGTGCCACACACAACAATGAAATAGAATTTTAAACATATTAATTGAAAAAGTATATGTGTTTTGAAAGAAATATATATATATTTTTAATGAAATACACAACTCATATTTGAGTTATGTGAGAGAAGCATAATGCATCTATGGATTCGCAGTGCTCTAATATGTGAATGCTGTTTTATGCAAGGCAGCATGAAATTGCTGGCATTTAATAGACCACTAAAATTTAGGGTCCCTCGGCACTCATAAAAGTACAGTTTGAGCATTCAAGATGTTTCACTTCACGATGGCAAAGAAACTATTTAGATGCCAGTTGCAGCACACTGCATGGAAAATGCAAAGAAATAATTAAAAAAGAATAATTGCTGGTTAAGTTTGTCTGTGAACAATTGGGGTTTAAAATATGTCTTTTCACTGATTTGTATGTACTCATATTCTAAGTATGCAAATATTTAATTAGAAACATTTACTTCTGGATTCAGAAATCAAAAGTTAGAAAAAGTTAGTGTAATTATTGAAAGCTGTAGTGAGATTTGATAAAGTTGATGCAAGTTCTGTAATTCTGTCTTCTCCTTGTGAAGGGTGAGGAGGGAAGCAAACCCAGAAAATATGCATTTTTTCTGTAACCTGAAGTTATAAGAAAATGTATGCAGTTCTTGAACTTCTTTTCTTAAAAAAAACTATATTGCAAATAATTTCTTAGGATGTTTATATATTTTCTTAAGTGAAACGGAATAATCTTTTCAGATTGTCCTTGTGTTCACTATTTTGGTTTGGCCATTTTGCTGTACTTTTTTAGTATCTGATGAATGATAAAGTACCAAATCCCAGTGCTTATTTCTCCATAAAATCAACAGAATAATTTTTTTATTGTCCTGCTCAAGCCTCTAAAAATACCAATGTGTATAATACTTAACAGCAGTACTTGCAAGTGGAATGTGTACACAAATCATGCAGTGTGCATGCTGAGAACTTGTATTTTGCAAGTTTTTTTCCAGCTGTTAAGCATACAGAAACTATTAGTACATTACTAGAATTCTAAATATTCTCGTTGAGTAGAAAATTTGGAAAATTATCAACTGTTGCTTCATTCATTTTTGTTCATAGTTTATATTGTGTGTGAATTTCATTCATTCATAGTTTATTTTGTAATAAAATCAGAATGCAGATAAAAATAGCACCAAAAAGTCTGTAGATATGTTTTCCTCAGAACAGTAGCATTTGTATTCATATTCAGGAAGAAACATTTTTCTGTAGGTTGTCTCTCTGGCTTTGCCTATAGCAATATATGTGTTTGGGTGTATACGGCTCTCTGTTTCATAGGTAAACTGGACTTGTCGTGGGTAGTGAGAGGGAGGGAGGTAAAATTTCTAAATACTGGAATGGGAAGCATTACTTCAGTAATTTCTTGATTAGTTCTGGGTTTGTGTAGCTGCTATGTTTACTTGACAGTAATATTGATACTGCTGCGCAGAAATTATGTGTGTATCAGTAGGAAAAAGGATTCAATTTCTCTTATTCAGTAGGAGAATTGATGAACAACTGTGGTTCAGTTGATTTTTTTTTCTTCAACGTAAGCAAAGATTCCAGAAATTAAAATTACAGACTTCTAGATTTGCACAGAAGTTTATATTGGGCTTCATTTAAATATATTAACTTACAAAACAAATTACTGTTTTTCTGGTTTTTTTTTTTGGTTTTCTTTTAACTTATTTTTTAAGATAAAAGTGGCATTTGTCTCCAATTGTTTTAGTAACTAATGCAGTTTTGCAGTGAAAATAGTAAATATTTTGCATGGTAAAACAGTACTGTTTAATACAAATCAGAAATACTTTGAAAAATTTTGAATGTGTTCAGTGTTGTTCAACATGACAAATTCACTTTATGCAGTTTGTTCAAAATACTTTTTTTTTTAAGTGCTTATCAGTTTCATTATATTTATTGATGCAGAATCTTGTGTAGTCTGGATGCAACCATGGTGTAGGTTTTAGTGCTTAAATAGTGTATCTGTTAGTCAGAGGGTCTGCTGATAGAGACTCTTAAGAGCCATAGTTGTATACTTTATGCGAGGTTGTGGGTGCAGTTCAGTAAACAGGATTCTCCTGTTAAAAGGATTTTTTTTTAAAGTCGTTGGTGTAAAAAGTGTTCAGATTTGTGGTTTTGTACCATCTTGACTGTGCAGCAGTGTAAGTAAAGTTAACCAGTACACCAAGTGTCCCTCTACAGGGTCGCTGCTGCAGCAGCTCAGTGGCTTCAGTTCATGCCAGAAGCAATCTACACACCTGCACTGTGCTGCCTCTTGTATTTCAGCTTTGCACTTGTGTGCATTTTCTACTGAGTAAAGAAGTGCTGGGGATTTTTTTTTCCTTAATAGTGTATTACGTGTTATTTTGATGGGATTCTTCCATTATTTTTATTGGAGTGTTAAGACTGTTTCTAAAAACTGTCTTACTATGCGTAGTTTCTTTTTGTTTTGTTGTTAAGTGTTTCGTTTTTATGTTGCTGTTAAACTGAAAAAAATAAAAGATTTCAAAATTTTGCAGAAAACTTTGTGTGCTACTATCTCAGTTGCTAATTAAAAACTTGCTAGGTAAATTGCCTGCAGATTTTCCTTTTGTTAGAATAATCCTAACATCCTTCTTTCTTCCGCAGCATCAATCTGAGTGCAAAGCAAATATTACAGAACCTAACTGAAAAAAAGGGAAAATGAAGCATTTTGCACAGGAGATGATCAGTGTGAATTTCATAGTTAGTGAGGTCCTAATTAGGGTGGAGTTCACCTTAAATTAACATCTCAAATTTTTTTCCCCCATTTCATTTTCTTTTGTTAATGAAGCTGAATAAACAATTTGTAATAGGAGATTTTTTAATTGGACAGTCACAGTTAACTATTTAATTTAACTTAATGCACTAACATTTTTAAGGTTATTCCATGCAGTTATCGAAATACTAAGGCCAGTATGCTGTGCATAATTATTTCCTTAGGAGGAAAAATCAAGTTGAAACTTTTTAGAGTACTTGAACACAAAATTAGGCATCTGAAAATTACTGATTTTGAGAGTGATACTATCTATGGAGGTTTTTTTTTTCCAATATAGCTGTCATGAATGACACAGTGACTTTCCAGCAGAATACATAGGGGTAGACTACTACAGCATGGTGAGCCTTTGAGCCTGCATAGTTTGTTTACCCACTGAGGATGTAAAGTCTTTTCAGGCTGTGGATGCACTAGTTTATCCATTCCAGATGCTTTATGGAAGACTTTCCTGCATTGTTTGCAATAATTTATGTTATAAGCTTTTAAAGTAATTAATTAATTAATACATAGTATATGAACTATTAAAATAAATAAGCTTTTTGTTGATTATAAAAGGGTGCCTCTATTAAATTGGGGTGTTTATGATGTGTTTTCTAAGCTCCATGTAGATATTCTCTTGGTATTACATAAAACTCAGAGTAGCTTAATAGTAATAGTACTGTTTCATATTCATCTCTGTATTTTTGAGACCAAAGCAGTAGTTTTGGGAATCTGCTCTTTTAACCAGATTAAAGCAAGGTGCATTATAAAAATATAATGTGGTACATATAATATCACTGCTAGCATATATTCAGCTATATAGTTATAATTTCCTGTTATTTTCACCTAGTACAGTGATACATTTCCATGGAGCACATTCCCTTGTGTAACCAATGCGAATGTGTCAGTTACAAGTTTACTTGTGAATGGATCAGGTGGTGTAAAATCAGATTGTCAACTACGTAAAATAGTTGAATTAAGAATATATCTTTCTTAGCAAGTCAAAATAATGTGCTCATTTCCACTCAATTTTTAATTATTGTGATGTGAAATTTGTTGCATTTTTTTGAAATCCGGGAGTAAAATTAACAAGCAGTTGTGATTATTTGTATGTAGAATTTGTATTAACATGTAAGTGTCACGTGAGTTGTATGTGGATTAGAAAAAAATTTTTTAGTCCTTACTGTGTTATAGTTTGGTGCTCCCAGGTAATCAGTACAGTAATCAGTTCTGAAAACAGTACTTACCTTGCAAAATGTGAGAAAGTATACTTTAATATGTTTGTATGTATATGGTACCATACTTTTCTGTGTATATTTTTGATCTGTGAATTGCTGAGTTATCTTGCACATTATGTATTATTTGTAGGATGTTAAATATTCTGCATTTACACTGATTTTTTTTTTTGTTAGTTCTGTTTTTAAAAGCCTCTTTACAGTTTCAACATAGCTTAAAAATGGTTTAGACTAGAAAGGAGGGTCTATTCTTGGTGTAGATTCTTTGAAGATGAAACTATGTAAATCATGTCAAATTTAGCTTCATGCCTTAAGGTGAAGAGTGGAGGAAATAATCATAGTTTGCATCCTCAATTTAGATGTGTGTCAGAATTTCCATTTTTTTTACTCTCAGCTATACAATTCTGTAACTGTATACTACTGTCAGCATCACTACCAAAAATGAAATTATCATGAAGATTTTTCTTGCTTCTTGATCTGTAAGAAAGATTTGGAGAGGGGGTGAGGAAGGGACACACAGCATGAAATAATGTGGATAAGTTGGCATTAATTGTGTTACCTTTCAGTTCCAAGTACCTCACTATATAACATTCTTCGTCCAGTTTTACATGTCTTGTCAGTGGAATATATTATGTAATTTCTATTCAGGAGTGTTATACTTTATGCAAGTCCAATTATTTTCTGTTAATGTTAGATATGTTAATAACTAGCTATAGTTTTGCTGTATCTTAATGGCTTAGCTGGACACAAATGACTTTTTTCCCAGATGATACAATAATTTTTGTTTCATAATTTAGTTCCTGTTTCTTGTGTACTTGTTAAAAACTATTGTTGTTGAATATATTTGTATCTAAATTTTCCAGGTTACACAATATCTGTATAATTTTTTTTCCAGGAAATTTGAATGTTACTCTTCAAGTGTGGGATGTAGGGGGACAAACAATAGGAGGCAAAATGCTGGATAAATATATTTATGGAGCTCAGGTACAGTATAAATGCTGATAATTATTTCTTGTAGCAATGATATACAATTAATTGAAACTTTGTTCTTAAAATTGTACATACATACATTATATATAGCTTTTAGTTGATTGATTAATAAATCTCAAAACTGTTGAATGTCTGTTCAATCTAAACTTAATTGATATTAATATGCTACTTTAATTTTGGTATGTAGCTAATTTTTTGGAGCTAACATAAAAAGCAAAGCAAGTGTGTGCATTTACAGAACTGAATAACTCCCAAGAACAGATGGTTGTTTCCAGGCTTTGTGTCTTGAGTTAAGAAAAGCAATCACAATAAATAGTAAAGGCTATTAGGATATCCACGTGGTAGATAGAGTGGCTGCTTTCAGAACAGCTGCCTCCTGGGGGGAAAGAGTAGAAGGAGGAAATTAAGAGCAATCCTACACCATTAAACTCATATATGCAGCTGGGGTTATAAGAGGGCAAACAAAAAGAGACAACCAGGTAGCTAAATATTTTTGCAGAACTCCTGTCCAATGAACATTAAATTTATCTTCAGGTTAACTAAGCAACTTAAAGTGGATGGTAGGATTAAGACCTAAGTATTATAACTGTATTTTGAGTCATGAGATGATTTAGGAGGATGTATTATAAATGCCAACCTTCTTAGCATGAGTGATCCTAAAATGTGCTCTGTTCCTTAATTTGGAGTTTGTAATGGGACCAATAGGCATAACATGTGCTATTTGATAATGTTATATAACACAGGAATGGCTAATGAAAGAGATTGGGATTTATTAGTTAATTGGATAAAGAGAAACTTGTTAATGTAACGTTTTGTTACTTTCTAAAATAGTCAATGTTTTTAGCTGTTGCATATGTTTATAGCATGTTATTGTTATAAAGAAAACATGATTTGCTAACCTGTTACAGATCTAGCAAGCAATTGGAGAAAGTGGCTTCCATGACAGAGGGAATTTGATTAATCGCAAATTGTTGCCATATGTCCAAAGTAAATTTAATGAAGGAAATAAAAGGCTATTAGCTTTGTCTGTATTGAATTTGGTGATAAACTTAGGAGTTTCTTAGCAAAAATAGCAGGTCAAAAAGTTAATACCAGTGCCCAAAAGTGCATAAGCAGTTGATATCAATAAGACTAAAGTTTGATTTTTTTTTTTTTTTGTAAATCAGAGCACATTAACAAAAAACCCCTACTTCCAATCTCTTTGTTTTTAGTCTTCCTCCAGTCCTCATTTTAACCCTATTTTTTTTTTAATGGACTAGTGTTTTTTCTTTCCTAGTGTTGGCATGTATTGCCAGTGTCTGTAAGAGGCTTCTTATCATCTATAAGAGGCTTCTCATCATCAAAGTTGAGGTTGAGTTCTAACACACTTTTCTATTAGCTTTGCAACAGTGCCTGTTAAAGAGGCATAAAATTATCTCTATTTTCATCTGTTCATGAAATGATATGAATTGTTTGAAAAGGCACTGCTTTCAGCTTATTTCTAGGCATAAGCTTATTTCATGTTGAACATCTGTACCTTTTTATAAGAAAAAGAAGAAAAACAAAGTAGAACAAGTAGGAGTATATATAAAGGGAAATCCTTTTAAATATGGATAAAAAATCCTGTGAATGAACAACAAAATAGCAAGAAAGTAATTGGGAAGCAGTAGCATGGAGTTTGTGAGGGTAAAATGTGCACAGCCAGCTTGATTGCTGTCTGTAGTTAGATCGTTAGCTCTGTGTAGAGGAGAGCAGATGGATGGATGTGAATTACCTTCACTTCAGCAGGGCCTTTAGCATAATCTCCCATAATATTATTACAATATGTAGAGATACTGGTGGAATGGGTGGACCACAAATTTACTGAAAATCTGAGTGGACAGCTGGATTTAAAGGTCTATAGCTCAGTGTTGTATTGATGCTTGATTAGAAATCTTATTTCCTATGGTTGGTACTGGGGTTGTGTCTTTTACTAATTCTTTTATCAGTGGAACAAAACATTGTTCATAAGTTTACGAATAGCACCAGTTTGGGGAGGAATGGTCACTGTGCCATTGTAGGGCTGCTACTGAGAGAGATCATGACCAGCTGAAGGAGTGGACCAACAGAAACCTTGTGAGGTTCAGCTGATGACAGATGCCAAGTCCTGCCCCTGGTACAAAATAATCTTATGCAGCTGAGAATCAACTGGAGAGTGTGCAGTGAAGGGCCCCAAAGGTGATTAATGGTCTGGAGCATCTCTCCTATGCGAGAAGACTGAGAGAGCTGTGACTGTTCAGCCTGGAGAATAGAAGGCTAAGCAATATATATACTCCCATGCAGGAAGGATGCAAAGAAGAGAGAAGCAGGCTTTTTTGTATAGTGTCTATTGACAGAACCAGAGCAATAGGCACAAACTGACACTGGGGATTCCTTCTGAACATCAGGAAACACATTTTCTGCCGTGGGGATGACTGAGAACTGGCACAAGTTGACCAGAGAGGTTGTAGAGTCTCCATCCTCAGAGATACTCAAAAGCAGTCAGGACATGGTTCTGAGCAGTTGGCTTTGTGTGACACTGCTTGAACAGCAGCATTGAACCAAGTGACTTCTAGAGGTTCCTTCCAACCTCAGTCATTCTGTGAAATGGCTTTGAAGGAAAAGCTCTTGGATGGGTGTCTTATTGAGGTAAAAAACCAGTTGAATGGGACTTTGCAATGCATCATTGCAACAGTAAAAGCTAATTGAGTACTGATCTGTGTTAGTAAGAATGAAGTAGTCAAATCAAGGAAAGTGAATATCATGATCTCTGAGACTACATATCATGGTACAGTATCATGATTTTTGAAGCTACATTTGAAGTACTGGGTTCAGTTTGGGGTTCCCCAGTGCAAGCAAGCCTTTAAAATATTGAAGTAACTTGAGTAAAGGTTGCTGCAAAAAAAGTGTATGTGCCTATGATGTGCACTTGGTCAGTGTGTGTGGTGCAGCTGGGATTTTAAACATCTTGTTTATAAAGTACACAAGCTGTTCAGATACAGATAAAGCAGATGATTTGGATCTGCTGCAGAAATTGTGTTCGTGTATTCATCAAATCTAAATAATTCAGATTTAAAGTACGTGTGGAATTGTTTGCAGTAGTATGTGTTGTGCCTTTATCCAGCATTTGCAGATACCCATAGCCTTGTGTAGATTTCCATCTATTTTATTATTGTGAGATTCGGAAATATAAGCTGCTGAATTCTTATTTTTGTGCTCAGAAATCTATGTGTATTATAGGCCTACTTCTAAAATTCTATGGCCAGCTGGAGATAGAAGTTTAGAGAATCTCCAGCAACTGAAAAGGTCTGCAGTTCACCTGATCTTGGTTGAAATTTGATCAGGATATCCAGAAGAGTAAAGGGAGCATCCATCTATATTTTGCTGCAAAAACTTGCCACTGGAGGTTTCTTTTACTCTAATGAGAGATGAACCAATTCTCTAGGATAGATCTTTTGATTAGGTTACTGTTAAGATGACATATTTTGGTGGAGATCCCCTATTTCTTTTGCCATATTTTAAAATAATAATGGTAGATGTGAGCATGAGAACTTGCATTGGTTGCAGTTGGAGAAATTGCAATTCACTTCTGTCTTTAACCAGTTGCTTTCTCCTTGCACATTTTTCATCTTTTTTTCCTCTGATATTGCTCATTTAGAACAATGTAGTTGCTGCGTTCTATCTTGGTAGCTGAATTTTAGTGTTGGGGCAGAAGAACTCTGCAAGCTGTTGGGAAAAGAAGAGCCCTTGTTCTTTATAATTAAAGTGTGTTAATAATCAACACTAACTGAAAGCTATTTAAAACTACCACATTTATCTCCGAATCAAGGGATGCTGAGAGTAATTGTGTAGTCAGTTGCCACAGCTGTACTGATAGAGAGTAAGTAATTCAATTATGGCAACTTAATCACATGGATATGAGTGACCATGTCCTCAGTATCAGCAAAGACAACAGTGGTTAAGTATGTGTGGACTGTAAGCTGCTTTCATTTGTAAAAAACTCTGTTTTCATCCGCACATTTCTGCAACAATTAAGTTGCTCTTTACTAAATTAATATTTTGCGACTGGAAAAAATACTCTAGAATTCTGGCCTGACTAATTTTATAATATTAATGAAAATTTGAAAGTTTACTTCCTTGATGCAAAAGTCAGTCATAGGATGAGGATAAATGAAGAAGAAAACATATGTGTTTAATTATTATTTTCTTTAGCTTCCTTTTATTGTGACAGATCTTGACATAAGCTTGGCATGTCTTAAATTTTGATTATCTGCACAAATATATTGCCTGGTTACAACACTTCCATACTAGCACTTCAGTTTTGAAATAAGGCTGCTGCTGTTTGTATAGTAAATCTTTCAGAAGCACTCCCACAGCTTACCTGTAATTGCTGCCCCTACCCACATATCTAGTTTAAATTATCTTTAAGATCTGGCATATGCTACATCATAAATTGGCTTGTTAATAGGAGTACTGCAGACTCTACTTTCTCCAGGGAGCAGCAAATAATTTCTGCAATATTCTCAGTTTCCAGTGACCTATTTTTGAAAATGCTCTATAATTCCTAAACAAAAAGCACTCACATGTACACTAATGTAGGCAAAATGTCTCTCTTAGAGTGTAATTATGCAAGCAGGGACTATTTGCCATGTTGCTGGAGACTAGAGAATCAATGTGCTGTTCTTGGCATGTCGTCTACCATGTGTTTCAAACCTCTTTCATGGCAGGGAAATACAGTACTTTTGTGTAAAAATGCCAGTGTTAATTTTCCTCCTTAATTCCTCACACATAATAGGGAAAAAACAGCTTTTATGCTGTCTACTTGGTCTGTACTCCATATACTGTAAATTTGTGGAAAATATGTATTTTTTTTGAAAGCAATTATGGGGTTTCTCTGTTAAATAAAAGAAAAAGATTAAATAATTTGTAGCCATGGAGTTGCAACTAGTCTTTCATTAATTGTCTGTATCATACTAAGTTGCTTATAGAGTGCTGTTGTGGTGAAAATCTAAGCAGAAAGTATTCTTTATGACCTGGATGCCATGCTGCCTTTTTTGCATCTATATGATGTTATACCTGCCATCTTTCTTTTTTGAAAGTGCAGCAGATACTGACAAGACTAAAAAAAATGTTTAAGAAAAGAGTGTTCTTAGAAGCAGTGTTTTAGATCACAGAGAAAGGGACCAAAAGGAAGTTAAGTCAGCTCTAGTTGCAAACTTTGATAAATTATTTCTTTGATGATAAATCCACTGTGAATACCCTTCATCCAAAGGGGTAGGTAGGCTACAGTTGTATAGAGGACGTGAAGCAGAGTAAAATTTTGATGAAGAATTTGTTAGAAAGAGTTGGCTAACCTTAAATGCTCACACTTTCTTATTTTTTCTCCATCAAACTGATCAGTGCTGAAGATGATTTAAATAATCTGCTCTTCTGCAAGCTGGTGAAAGAACTTGACAGCTGGTGAAGGAAGCATTGCTGTGTGCTCTTTCCTCATTTACAACTTCCAGCATTATGGCTGGCATTTTTTTTAACCTTTGCCATACCTATTGTTTAGACTGTGTTTCTTTTCCACTGAGCATTTAATAATATAAATATGTCCTTCCTAGAGAAAAACTTAGATTGTGAGACAGTTACATATGTGCCCAGGCATTTGGGTAGTTATAAAAACAGTCAGGAGAAATTAGCTGAGATTGACTTAGAGATGCAAGATATTAAGGAATAAATTGCACCAACATTAGAAGAGGGAAGTAGATGTTTAATATTAGATTTGATTGTTAAAGAAGGAAAGATAGCAAGGGAAAAGTTTGGTGTCATAATTCTTAATTTCCTTGAAGGAACTGATGAAATCTGTTCCTCAAAAATTAATAGCAACTATAGAAATATAAGGAACAAAACCTGAAGTTTGCCAAGGAGTTGATAACATTGGAGGAAACAAGATAGATTGGTACTGCTGTCATAAGAAAGTAGGAGTTGGAGGGATCTCAATAGGATCTGTTGCCCTCCTTCAAAGCTATCTGTGTGTGATGACTTCTAGCAACCTTCAAACATTTTTCAGTGTTCGGTGAATGTTATAGTGGTGTATTTCAGAGCTTTGCTATTCTTACAGCCTCCATCGGGTTGTTTTTTTTTTTGTTTGTTGGCTTGCTTTTAGTACACTTGCTATAATTTTCTTGTGAGTTAAACCTTTCACTATGTGTTGTATTGATCACAGATTTGTAAGAAAGTTCAGGGCTGAAGGATGTCAGGAGGTTGGTAGTAAAACACTCTCCAAGTAGGATCAACTGAGAGATGGAGCTAGGCTGCTCAAGAATCTACCGAGTTCCTGCTTGTAAACTTCTAAGGGTGGAGACTGAGCAACCTCTGGTCAACCTGCTTTATTTTTCTCATGGTGAAAAAGCTGTTCATTAGTTATTGTTTGAATTTCTCTTATTTCAGCTTATGCCCACTAAGTTGTATCCTGTCGTGCACTACTGTGAAGGGCCTGGCTCCATCTCCTTCATTGCTTCCTCATGGGTATGGGAAAGCTGCTTTTAGGTTCTGCCAGGGCCACTTCCTCTGCATGCTGAAGAATTTGAGTTTGTTCATCTCTTCCTCATAAAACAAGTGCTTCAACCTCTGATCATCTTGCTAACCCTCTGCTTAAGTTAATCTGCTTTTCTGATGTCTTGAGGGGCCTAAAGATGTGTTCTGACTGGATGTGTTCTTTTAGATACCATCCAACAAGTGCTGAGTAGAAAAGTTTGCTGGACTGGTGGCTGTACTGCTAATACAGCCCAGGATCACGTTGGCCATCCTTGCTGCCAGGGATTGTTGCTGGCTTTTGTTGCAGCCGGATTAGCTGTTAGTCCAGGTTTAATTCAGCCATGTGGTGAGATGTTCAGGGTCCAAGGGCAGGACTCACTGGGAGAGCCCAGGTCCCCTTGTATCGAGAGGCAGGGCTGAACTGTGTTATCTGGGCAGTACAAAGATGAAGGTTGAGCAGCTTTTGAGGGAAACTTCTTGTGTCTCTCCAACCCAGGAAATGCCCCTCAGGGTCTTCACAGGCTTGGATTTTGCCTGCTGTCTGACAAGACCTGCAGGTCATTTTCAGTTGCTCTTCAGCCAGTCATGTATTGCTCCCCTCAGCCTGTATTGTTCATCCCTTCCGAGCTGCAGGACTTTGCACTTATCCTTGTGAAATGTTGAAAGGTTGCTGTTCATCCACCCCTTGAACAGGTCTTCATACCCCTTTGTGGTAACCCTGCCCTAGGGCACATTGGCTGGTCTTCCCAATTTAGTAGCTTCTGCAAAGTGTATATAAAAGCATATACACAGAGAACTGTTATCTTCTCTTGAAGCTTGTACCAACATCATCATGCCTACCATAAGTCATGCGCTTGTTGAAGCACATTCTACTTTTTTCATGTCAGTCATGGTTTCCATGACTGTTAACCTCTGTTACTGGTTTCTTCTAGTGTACCCTTTTTTGACATTCAAGTGTCCAAAGATGGATGCATTATTTCACCTGGAATGTTTTATGCTGGTGTGATATTTGCACAATAGCCTCAGCAAATTCAGCTGTGAGCTGTAACTCCTTGATCCTATTATATGGAACCTGCTACAGAGCCAGATGCTTCCTATTGTGCACTTGATTATTGCTTCCTTTGAACTTGTCATGGCATTTATTGAATTGTATCTTATTGATTTTACACTGTTTGTCATCATAAAATCTGAACTCTCCTCAAGTAGTCTTGCCGTCTATACTAACTTGTTGCCAAATGTGAAATTATTAAGTAAGTGTACACTCTGTTTTGTGATCTAAGGCTCTCTTTATGATCTAAGGCACTCCTTTTAACTATCAGTTAAAACTGGGCCCAGACAAATACCCAAAAAAACTTGAAAAATCTTTTCTGTTGACACTAGGTCATTGACTCAGCTATTTTTGTATGGATCATATTGTTTTTTCAGAATTTCAGAAATTTTGTGAAAATTTTGTGAGAAATAGTGTGCAGATGCAGAGTTTTTTTGACAGGTGTGAACTCCATGAGAACATGTGTGATTGAAACCAATTCTGACTTCATTCCTCATTTACAAGATACCGGCTTTATTAGGGTGTAGTGGAAAGCAGGGTCAGGAAACTCAATAGGATCTGAGAGCTGATCTTCGAATTGTGGAGGGGACAGGGATGACATTTGGGCTGTTAATAGGCTGTGCTTTATGGTATTGGATATTTGTGCTGAGGAAACATCAGCAGTGTCGGCTTTGTGTCACCTGTAGCTTGGCCCAAAGCCTCAGAAATACATGGGACTCCTTTTTGAGTGCTTACCATGTCTTTACGTTCTCTTTTGAAAGTTTAAGGCTTGCCAATAGTTCTTAATTATCTTCTACAACACTGAAGGAATGGAATCTGGCCTTTATCCCCAAAAGACAGCAGAAACATGACAGACAATGTGCAGAAGTGTAAAATTGAAGTGCTTTTTTTTTTTCAAAAAGGGAACGTTGAAACTGCAACTAATATTTTTTAAAATAAAAGACCTTCTCCAGTGTAATTTTTATTTTCCTATTAGTGTGAAATGCTATTTTGGTTTATTATAATGCATATGCAGCTTGTAATATTTCTGATATAACTAATTGTGCATTTGACTGTGTTGCCATTTTTTTCCTGAAACGTGCATTTGGAACACATGAAATGGAGGAGAAATACTGTAATAATGTGTATAGTATAGAAATTTATAATTCCTTTAACTGAGCCTCAAAAGGTATGATGCCATTTTTTGTTAATGCTCTATTCTATGACAATAATCATTTAGACTGATGCAAATCTTACCGTGTTAAACTCTTTTACAGTCTGTAACATTTTAAACATGTCTTTTTATTTAGGGTATTCTCTTGGTTTATGATATTACCAACGGCCAGAGTTTTGAAAATTTGGAAGATTGGTATAATGTGGTAAAAAAAGTGAATGAAGGATCAGAAACACAGCCACTTGTGGCCTTGGTTGGAAATAAAAGTAAGTTACTCATATTTAAATATTAATTGAAATACTCTGGATGTGGTTTGCTATTAAAGAAATGACATAAGGTATATATATTTAGCAAAATGCAACTAAATATTATCTCATGTTTTTGCTGTTACAGATGACATATTTGGGTATACTTCAGGATTATGGCTCTGGGCAGCTAGGTTATGTTATGGGACTTGCTGCATCATGCTTTGCCTAGCCTGCAGTTTCTCTCCCTGTGTTCTCTTTGCTTGGAGGGCAGCACACAGGAGTAGGGAGATCACTCGCCCATGTTTGAACTTTATAGATCCCAGGATATAGCCATGACGTGTGTCTGGAATGGAGAACTGGGGAGCATTTCTGGATGTAGTAAAAGGTATATTTCATGGTTCTATATGTTAGGAGACTGCTGGATTAACTACTAGTATATGTTTAAAAAACTACACTATGCATTAGGCATAATACTTAGGAGTTGCTTATCAGACTTTTTTTAAAATGTTATCTGTAGTTGTGCATATGAGGTGATTTGTGCTGTTCTAGGTTTTTTTAACCTTCTTTTTGTGATCACATAAGTATGATATAATGGTTTTCCTCTGACCACCAAAATATTTTTGTTACTTTATATAATCATCACTTAGTTTTCTAATTCCCATTTCCAACTAAAAAATCTTATACAAGCATTATTATTAGCTCCTGATCCTGGCTTTCTTACCCATTTTCTGTTGAAGATTATAAAAGCAACATATAAAAAATTTTAGAATCAAAGCGGTAGAAGTGGATGCATAATTTTTAAACAGTATAAATATGTTATTTGAACAAAGAAAAATATTTTATCTTTTTTCACTTTCCAAATAATTTGTTTCTGTGTTACAGTGACCATGTCATGAACAAACCTGATAAAAGGACCTTATCCAGAAAGTTAGAATTGTTTAAAATAATTTGAAAACAATGCAGAGACAACACTTTCACTCAGAACCATTAATTGTAGTATTGCTACAGTGATGCTGTAACATTTTATGACATTAATTATGAAAGACTAATTTCCTGTGAAGAAAACAGAGAAGCTCTTAGAGTTACAATATATAAATAGCACTTCTGAAAGCATAACACTGACAGTGTTGTACTCTAGCAGACCAGAGTCAATAATACATATTCTGTTGAAATTCAAATGAAAAATATTTTTCACTGGTTTCTATTTTGCCCTAAATTTGGACTTCCTAGCTGGAGTTCTGCAAATCTTACTAAGTATTTGCAGTAAGCTACCCTATAACATAGCATAAAACAATGTTCCTTTGCTGAAGTGGCACGATAGATGTAGATAATGATACATTGGTTTTGACTTGGAGGTGTTTTATTTCTGGTTTTTTTTCACATATACATGCCTACAAATCTTTAATATCATATGTTTCCTTGGGGGCATCTGGAAATAGAATCTGGTTTCCTGGGTGAGTTTTCAGACAAATGCTGACACTGACTAATGATAGGGCTTTCATTTTATGAAAATAGCAGCTGAAGGAACTGCTTGCTGCCTTGTTTTCCTTCAGAAGCCATGTATAAAGAAAAGCAGCAAAATATTGATTTCACGTGATGCTAGGGACGTTTGTTGCTGTTGCACATGTTGAGCATGCAGGGGATACTGTTTACAGAGGGATGTTTTTATTTTTATTTCAGCATGATAAAAATTTGACTTTGAAAGTACATTGCTTTTCTGAATTCTGTAGTAGGATAAGAATATCTAGGAGGCCTTCCACCCCAATACTAAAAACTTAATAGTAGGCTCCTGTTGTTACATAAATAGAAAGGAAGGTGTCTATAAAGAAGCATGGTGTTGACTCTCACATATTATGAAGAGCTAAAACTACTGGTGCTAACAAATTATTACAGAGGAATCAGTCTGTTCGACTTCTTTACTTAGTAAGTGATAAAACACTCATATGCAATGCAAGAGCAATAATAGGTTAAGAGCCAGGAAAAACCATTTGATGAATTGATGAACTTACTTGACCTCATGCATCATTCAGGAGAAATACTCCAGTGAGTGGTTTCTGTCTCAGGATTCTATTTGGTTTTTTTTGAGCTGTACATGTCTTTTAGGAAAATATCCAGGTAAGCTCACTGAAAGATTAGAAATGTCAATATCCACAGGCAAGTTATTCTAACACTTAACTTTCTTTCTGATAAAAGCTTTTAAAATTTGCCAAGAATGCACTTTTTTTCATTCATAGCATTTGGAAAGCTTTGGGCTAGTCTTTAGATACCTTGATAAGATTTTGGAAGCTCAGTCTCTGTTTTGAAACTTTGGCTTAAAGTTCGTTTCCTGGGCTGTCCTTTGTCTATTTTCTCTTAGTAATACTGTCCGAAATACATGTGTAATTTTTTTCCATTCTGTGGGAGATATACCTGGATTCTCTCTAGGGAAAAATCTTGGACGAAAACAAAAATATTTATCTACCACAACACAATACAGAAAACTGTACATTTGAATTCTATTAAATGAAAATAATTTCCCTGGGTAACTTTGTCATTGAAAGCAAATTATTTGATACATAGCAGTATATGGTGCATAATTGTTTACTACTGTTAAGTCATGCAGTTTTATAGGTAATTTATTAGTGGTTTCTAGTATCAATTTGTAGTCATTTTGTTAAATGTTAAGTTTGTGGGGATTTCTCTAGTATTCTATAAAACTTGAAGAAATTGTTCAGCGCCGATTTAAATGAATCAGTGCTTGTTTTCACTGTTCTGGTTTATTGTGCATTGCAATAGATTAGCAGCATGAGCACAGTAAGCTGCTGTGTCTGTTTAAAGCATGATAATTAGCTTCAGAGTGGTGTCAAGCTATTAAAATGTCCTGTTGTGATTCTACGAGGTTAAGATTTATTAATGAAACATTGGAAAGGTAATTTCTACTTAAAAAGCTTCAGTCAGTTGCTGGTACCTCATCCATCAGAGATTTATTTGAAAATAGTAGAGCAGTATGAATTAACACCTAAATTCTGGAATTTTGGAGCTTCCCACTTCTCTTTTTTTATTTGCTCCCCCCCTTTTTTTTTGTTTGTTTGTTTGTGGTTTTTTTTTTTTTTTAATGAAGGAGTTTCATTGCCCACTAATTTATTAAAAATAACTGGGGGAGCAAGAGTTTCAGAAATGCAGATCTCCGTTGTAAAACCAGGACTTTATTTAAGCTGTCTGGTTTCCTTCTGGGGGTTTAGTTTCAGTTTTCATTCTTTTTTCCTTCCTGTACCTTTTTTCTTTTCTTCCATAGCCTGTCCTACATATTTGGTCAGAGAGAGTATAAAACTGATTTGAATCAAGATCTTGCCCAGACTTGCTTTCTGCACCAATGTTCAATTATCAATTTTCTTTCCACAGATTTTGTCTATGCATTTGATGAACAACAGAAGGAATTATAAAATTTGATGTAGAACTATTTTTTCCTATTAATTCTAAGTCATAAGATCTTAATAATCCTGAACTTTACGGCTGACATTGAATCTTAAATTTGACTTTTCTAGTAACTTAAGTTGTGTTGTTTTATTCTTATTGAATACAAAGTATATTTGAAGTGTGCTTATATCTGTGTTGCTAGTACCACTTGCTTTGCACTCTTAACTGGGGAGTAAACCTTCCTGTTAATTTTAACTTATGTTTTAGAGTTTCTATGCAATAACTCAAAACTTTTGTATATGTGTTGCTGTCAAATACTTTGATTTCTGTGGTATAAATGAGACTATAGTTATCAAGTGAATGAATTGTGTTTTGTGCACTTAGGGTCTTTGCTTAAATTAGGTATTGATAAAGTTCAGTGATCACAATGGATCTTCTAGTCATTAAGTGTGAATTAAAGAGGGTTTACCATGTTTTGTATGACTGATGTGTTTTCTTCCTTTCTACCTTGATGGCTTTATATATTTTCTTCTGCACTAATCTATAAGCAGTCTCCTCAAGTGTCATACCAGCATTTTCAGTGGATATATTGTAAACAAAAATTAACCCAGGTTGCATGGGAGCTATACTGATTTTGATTTATAGCCACCAAGATGGTCTTAGGGCGGTGGTTATCTGTAGCTTATTTAGGGGGTTGGAATTATCAGGTACCGGTGTATAGTGGCTAGATGAATGATTTCTGTTCTTAGAGATATTAACCAGATCTACTCCTCAATAAAGACTAATAACTCAGATTTTTAAACAATCTTCATGACAGATGAGGGCACAGAGGAGAATGCATCAACACTAATTAAGAATGTTGACCGGTTGTTCGTCTTAGCTATGATTAATTGATCTTGGAGTGCTATCTCTGAACAGGAAGTGGTATGCTGTTACATTGTGAAGTTTAAAGGTTACATTTTAGTGTACCCTTTAACTTGCCCTTACATACAACATAAAATGTTTTTACCTATCTTATCTGAGCACAGAAAGAAACATTTTCCAGCCAAGATACAAATTAACATTTGGTGTTCTGTGTACTAATGTGAATCTGGCTGGTCATAGGACTTGCCCAGTCTGCTTTTTGAATCTCTTTCTGCATTATATACTTAGTCTCCTGTGTTGTACTTAGAAAATGTCTTCATTAATACTCACTTAGATAATCTGTTTTATTTAAATTCAGAGCTGTGCATTCATTCTCTTGTCCCTCCTAACCTCCCCCAGTTTTCTGTTCTTGCTTCCCATAGGCTTGCCCTTTTAAGATCCTTCACCTGTAATTAAGACAAGTGTTGAGCAGCTAATGCGAAGACCCCTGTTCTTTAGAGTCCTATGCCTGATCAAACTAAAGTTCCTGTATGCCCAACAGCAGGTCTGGTCACTTGAGCCTTACACATGCTCTTGGGATTGGAGCGTAAACTACTTACACGTAGAGACTCCCTTAAAAAGAAAACCTTGTCCTGTGCTAGTCATTTTACCAACTCATTTGAATAAATGTAGAATGATATTCTGTTTTAAAATATGTATAGAGTGTTTTTCTCAACAACACTCAGCTTGTAAGATTAATAGAAAATTGCAGGCCTATG